TTTTTTTTTGGAATTTTTATCCTCATAAAATTAGCTTAATTTAAGTAATTTGTTTGGTTATGGATTATGCATTTGCATATGCACTTTAGAGTTTCTAATTGCAACTTTTCTCTTTTTTTTTTAGAGGCCAAAAGCTGCCTCTGTTGACCAGAGTCTGAGGTCAAGGGGGGTCATATGTGTGTTTTAATGCCTTTTACCGTTCAATAAATAATTTTAACTCCATCGACGAGGCAGTGGCTGGCATTATTTTGCGATGATTGTGTTTTAATTAATGCAACACACAAAAATACAGTACGAGTGGGGTCAAGGGGCTGGAAAATTAAGAGTGAAAGAGGGGCTGAATGGGGTGGGGAGAATGCGATCAGGCCGTAATAGTTGCAAAAAAAAAAAAGGCCAGCAAACTAACTATCGGCTATTGTTTGGCCGACGTGGCAATATAAACATGCACTCGCATTTAACCTCTACCACTTCACTTCCCCTTTCAACCATACTCATGGCATTTGCACTGGAAGAAATACAAAGGATTTATAAGTTATAATACTTTATAAATTATGGTTGGGTTATGGGCCATTTCTTGGCTAAAACTTGGCTGATAAGTGAATGTTAAACTTCCCGTTTGGGACTTACAACACAGAGCATTACCTTTTTCAAAACCTGGAATTGAGATTAAAATCTGTTCTTTTGATTTTTTTCGCACTGGGATATACATAGATCAAAGTAAATGAAAACCCTGATTCATAAATGGTATTCAATCTTTATAGAAAATTTAAAAAGAAAGAAAAGTATTTTTTTGAAATATAGTGATAAGAACAGTTTCTCAGTTTCTTAAGTTTCTCATATAATTACTGGACTTTATTTCAGTGCACACGCCTTAGAACAATGGCTGCAAATTAAAAGCTGAAATCAATGGCCACACATTTACCGAGCCCCCTCTCCCCCCTTTGCCACTCCTTTTTGACCACATTTTGTTCATCGCTTGCATTAAACATAATGCACGTAATTATTATCATTTTGCGGCCTGCTTCTCTTAATATATACATATATACATACTTTCCCACAAACATACTGTGCAAAATGGGATGCATGCCACGCCCACTGCCCATAGTGACACACCCCCTTACATTTTGGGGGGGAGGTAGGGCTGAAACTGCCAATTTATCGGCGATTGTAAACTATTTATTAGCGCATAACTTTATAAATGAGTAGCAATGGACGGGTGTTTTCAAATTAAAGTTGACGCCGAACACGAATTTGGCCAGAAACATAATTTGGCCAAGTTAAGTCCCCATTGGTTTTTGGCCAGTGTGTATCATTTAACGAGCGGGGGCAGCGGGGTGGGCACGACGATGGTGACGACAATTTTCATAGATTTATAATTTGTAGCTCAATTAGCGGCATTGAGTTCTACATTCAATTGGAGGGCCATTAATCAATGCATCGATGCGGGGTCTGGAGTTACAAATTGAAGGATTGCCTGATTGATTGAGTGGCTGATTAATCGAATGAATAGTCTTCAAATTTTGTTAAGCTTCAAGTTTAAAGCTTAAAGTATATACATATCTTTGAAGGAAAATATGTATAGTGTATATTGAAAGACATTGAGACAAGGATGAGAATAATAAACATATACTTAAAAGGTTTAAATAGTTTAAATAGTTATAAAGCTTGCTATTAAATGAAATGATGCTTAAATGTATGTATATATTATATTATTTTTAATTAGTTTAGGGGTTTATTTGTTCTAAAGTCTCTAGGCAGAATTTTAAGGAGAAATAATGAGGTCACATCTTACAATGGAAGCGGAGTATATGGTATTATTATCGTATGTATTTCAGAAATTTTTGGTATTAAGCTAAATCATGGAATATAAGTTAATATTCTTCAATAAACATATTTACTAATATATCAAGTAAAATATTTGAGAGCATTGATTAAAAATTAAAAAATTAAAAACTTAAATTACCAAATTCCAGAAACCCCCATTGGAATTAAGAAATCAAAGAAATGAAAATTATTCCACTAGGCGATCAAATGAGTTCACCTGTTTGGATTTAAAGGACCCCCCGGGAGCGTATAAGCCACATCCTGCTGGGAAAATGAAGCTCGAATGGCAAGAAAAAAGAGATTGCCTAATCGCATTTGGGTTTGGAAATGTACATATATACAAGGATAAAGGATAAAAGTTTATATAGCCACCGATATATTCCCAGTTGGCAAACATCTGAGAGGCATCTCTGAGAATTGTTCCACTTTCCGATTACTTGGGGATTTTCTTTGCTGTTGTTAATTTTGTACCTTATATTTTTTTTGCATTTTTTTTTTTGAACAAATATGTTTAGCCGGCAAAATGCCAAACAATGTGCAGGTGCATACTGTATGTGTGTGGAAAGCAGATTGTGGGCTGTATTTTGTCCTTACAAGTGCCGGCAAATGTACCGTGAAGAAACCATTTAGGATTAGTTTAATATGATACACAGAGACTTGGCGGCGGAGGACCTAGATAACGCTCCTGGAATAAGCAAACAGTACTTAAAACTGACGGCCAGGACCCAGGCAGAGACTACTTAAGGAGGATAGGAAGTGGGAGCAGGGAGCAAGGACACGAAAAGCCACAAGCAAACGGACAGGACGCTGGCAAAATATTGGTGAGATAAAGCCAAGGCTCAGCCCAAAGCGGCACAAAGGAAAAAAATGACAAATTTGCAAATGTTAAGACGGAAAGAAAACATCAACATAAGTTATAGGCTTAGTGCGTAATCGTTTTTCGCAAAAAAGGACCAAGGACCTGCCACCGAAATGTGCGAGGAGCAGGTGGTGGTGGTGGTGGTGGTGGCATGTGGTCTGAGCCATATTTGCGGTTTAAATGCTAAAAAGGCATTTTTACTTGGTGGGCTGGAAGATTTTCCAGCAGCTTAGTAAGTATTACATTTAAATACTATATTTTAGATATAATATATATTTTAAACTCCATATTTCTTAAATTTTTCTCTTTTCATGCATAGTTCTTAAAAGTTTGTGCATATCTTTCATATTTTTTGTCTTTTATCGAATAATAGCCACTCAAACTATCTAGCTCTGTGGATCATCGACTTATCTGGTAAACGACTCCGAAACTCCACCCCCGTAATGCCACCCAGCCACCCACCTCCATTAGACATTAGCCATGCGGATTTCCCTGGCTGTTCAAATTAAAAATTCATAAAAGCAGAAATGCGAAATTATGATGATAAAATAAACACAGAAAAGAAGCCGCAGACGACAGGCTATAAGATGTGCAAAGATGCACTGGAAAAAATAGTAAGAAGGTTGAAAAAATATATGTATATAAAATGGGGGGTAGCCCCCCTTTATATAAAATATATATATATAAAACTAAAAAACCTATAGTATTTCCTCCAAAGGGAAGGATATAAGTTTTAAAATATCAAAATTTAAAAACAATTATTAGAAACAAATGTTTAACTTATATATAAAAATTTTTTAGATTTATTTATACATTGTTATTAAAAAAAAGTAAAAGTAAATAAGACAACCATTTTTATTGAATTGATAATGATTTTTTGTCATTTTATTTTCATAATAAAAATTAAAATCCAACATACCCCTTAAAATAATAGTACTTCATACCCTATTTTTTACAGTGTATGCCTTGGCAAGTGGGCAAAAATGGGCGTGCCCAATATGGGGGGCTGGGGTTGGACTAAACGTGACATTGGCCGGCTACTGTGAGAAAAAGCCAGCCGCAGAATTGGACCCGACGACTCCGGCGACTTGAACGCTGATGATGTGGATAAAATAAACATGGGACATTGGTTTTGGCCAAGGAGCCAGCCAGAGGGCAGTGTTGGGGAGTACGCGGAGGGTAGTGGGGGAGGATGGCAGGACGAAAGCGTGTTTAAACATTAAAAGGACCATTAGATACGCCTTAAAGTATGCTTCAAGTAGATTATCTTCCATCAGTTTTGTTTGCTTACTTGGAATTGTTTCGCTTCATTTTTCTCGTTTGCAAACACACACACACACACAGTGTACTTAGCATTTTTGTGTGTGCCAGTGTATATGTGTGTGTGGGTTTTCCATCTTTATTTTTTTCCTTACAAGAATTTTTCTTTTGCCGGGCAGAGGGAAAAAAAAAGAAAAGAAAGCATTTTGAAGACGAAGAAAAGCCCGAGACGAGGCGAAGACGACGTTATTATAAATTGTGCGCGTGTCCTTGTAAAATAACATCAAGTGAACCCAAAAGGCCCTCTTGAACCACCCTGAAATCACCCAGAACCACCTAGGACCTAGGACCTAGCACCATCCACCCAACTAACACCACCCATCTAGCACCCCAAGAACCGCCATATTCTTGGTCAAGTCTTGCTTCTTAAATTACCAAGAAGTGCGCTTATTGCTTTTGCTTTTCATTTCTTTTGGCCTTTTTCGTTGCTTTTGCTTTCGCCATTGCTTCTGGCCATGGCTCATGACTGATGGCAGACTTTGGCTGCCAGTGGGTCGGTTGTTTGGGGGCCTTGACTCAATTTAAAGCCATCCTCCAATTGGTCGTAAATTTCCATTTTCATCTTGGATTTCAGGCGGCGATCGAATGCGTTATCTCTGGTAAATATTTGAGAATTTGTAGGTACACCAAGAGAAAAAGGAGGGGTTTAATAAATATATTTAATAAAATATATTATAGGATAAATATTACAAAAGCATAAGGTTTGTGATGATACAATTTTTTAAGTGATAGGTACGTTTGGTAACGAAATGGTGACTCGAATGGTGGACCCCGACATAAAATTCTAACTTATTTCAAATAAAAGCTCCCCTAGTCTTTTCTTTCTAATCAAATTTCAAAAGCATCTAAAATAATTTTAGTAATCAATTGAAATTAAATTCCAAACACTATTACCTAAAGTGAAGGCAATTAATTTACTCAGGCTATCATTCCATCAAATTAGCTGAAATTGGCCAGAGCCCTGGCAGTCCTGCCCGATACTCCTTTTCATTCAGTCATGAGACTAGTGGACCTCTGTCTGCTCTCTGCCGTGTGGCTTTTGCGACACAGCCAGTATCAAGGTCACGGCCAGGAGCTGCTCCTTGCCGAGCTGGCCCGTCCCCAGGACGAGATGAAGACCCAGCTTCTGGCCAAAGCCACCAACTATGTGGTCCGTACCTTCATAGCCAACAGGATGAACACAATGGTCGTCCGGCAGGACTGTAGGGGTTGTTCTGGTGAGAAGCTTCACCGCCAAAAAACTATAGTGGACCAGGTGCTGGCCAGCCTGGCGCCGAATATCAGTGTGGTGCTTCACAGCGGTAGTCTCATGGAGGAGACTTCTTGGGACTACACGCTTTTTGTAGTCAACTCCCAGAACGAGTTCATGTGAGGAAGTCGAGAAGGATGCGTCCTCTAAGCTCCATTATTAATTCACTATTTTTCATAGTTTTCTGGAGGTAAGCTTCCCGGACGACCTTGTGGAGCGGGAGTACTTTTTTGTGGTGGTGGTGACAGAGTTCGACTCGCCTGACACCGTCGAGGACACTGCTAGCCGGATAATCGTGGCCAGCCTGCGGCATCCGGTGATCAATGTGGTGGTGGTGATTCAGATCCCCGATGGCACGGTCGCCATTTACGCCTACTCGCTCTTTCAAATAAACTGCACCGCCGGCATAACCATCCAGCGGATCAATCACTTTGATCTGGTCACCGGAGAGCCTCTCCAGCCCATGGCCGAACTCTATCCTGTGCGACGGGGTCACCTGGGGAACTGCGTCCTCAATGTTACTGCCAATCACATGCCGCCGCACTTCATCTACGACAAGTGGACAGAGGAGCGCGACTCCCATCCGGACGACCAGGTGGTGGACCTCAAGGATGTCTCCGGCATTGACTGGGAGGTTCTGCAGCTGCTTTCCAAGGCTCTGAGGTTTAAGGTTCAACTGCTACTGCCCAGCGAACCGAGCCAGATCTTTGGCGAGGGCAATGTCACAGGAAGCTTTGCGCAGTTGGCTGAAGGACGTGCCCAGCTGGCTATTGGAGGGCTGAGTGGATCGGACAAAAGGAGGTGGCAGTTCTCCAAGTCTACGGTCTACTATCAAAGCCAGTTCGTGATGGTGGTGCGGCGTGATCGGTACATGGGACGCTTCGGAGCTTTGATGCTGCCCTTCCGAGGCAAAGTGTGGTCCGTGATTATCCTGATTTTCGTTACCGCCTTGGTGACCACCTTCATCCTGAGCACTCGTCTGCGATTGCGGTATTCTTTGGAGAATCTCTTTCTTGTGGGTATTTGTATCCTTAAAATCATTTTTTAAAATAAAAAAATATTTTTTAGATGAGTTTGGGAAATCCCATACCGATGCACAGGCTGCCAGGAACAGGGTTCCTGCGCTATCTCGTGGCCAGCTGGCTGCTGCTCACCTTGGTCCTGCGCTGCGCCTATCAGGCCCGCCTCTTCGATGTCCTGCGCCTGCAGCACTACCGCCCCCTGCCCACGGACGTGGCCGGCCTGATTGGCGACAACTATACCTTGGTCTCGAATGGCTACCACGACTTCTATCCGACGTGGATGACCCGCCGGATGTCCGAGTCCTTCTCAGCCCGTTTTGACCGGGTCCAGGGCGCCGCTCCAGGCAAGCGATTGACCACCATTGCCCTGGTCACCAACCTGGCTTACTGGAACCACCGACACCGAAACACCACCCAGCTGACCTTCGTCCGCCGGCCGATCTACACCTACCAGCTGGTCATCTACTTTCCGCGGCGGTCCTTCCTCAAGCCGGCGGTGGACCGGAAGCTGAAGCAGCTCCTCAGCGCCGGGGTGATAGCCCAGATCGGGCGGCGGTACCTGCGCTACCTGAGCGACGAGGACTTGGTCGGCAACCGGGAGCTCCTGCCGCGGGTCACCAACAAGATAATGGGCGGCGCCTACCGCATGCACGCGATAGTCATTTTTGTGGCCACCGTGGTCTTTGTCCTGGAAAGGATCTCCACCAGATGGGGGTGGTTGAGGCGCCTATTCGAGAGGTTATAAAGGAATTGAAAGTATTTCTTTCTGGATCTTTAGAGAGTAGCTTGTTTTAGTTTATGCCACGAAAGGAATTGGCATCTGGAATAATTATTATTATCCTTAATATTTTTTTTAAGCTTTTAGGAAGATGCTTCTACTAATTGTTAATTATTGTTCTTAATAATAAATGTTTAAAGATATTAGTTTTAAGACTTGGAAAAAATTTTAATTTAAATGGGATTTTTAAAGAAACGTAATTTTTCTTGGATATATGAATAGAAACTCTTTGAATATTTTGTGTCTTAAATGGTAAATCCTTTCCAGCTTTAGTTTTTAGGAAGTCTTTTTGTAATTATTTAAATTTAAAAATTTATTCATTATATTCCCCTATTTCTTTTAATAATATTTACTCCCATTTTTGTAACAAAATCTCCATTCCAGACAATCTAAAAAATTTTAATGGAATATCGCAATCATTTACTTTGAAAACAAAGTGATTCCATTCCTAAGCTGTATGTTTTTTTAGTGCGCTGCTGGTTGGCCTTAAAAATTGATTTAAGACTTGTAATGCACACAGTGGTACTTGGACATCCCCCTTACTTTGCCTGAACCCTGGTCACCCTGGAAACCCCCTCCTGGACACCACTCTGGGGCATGTGTGAGCGGCGGCAACTGGCCAACTTGCAACTGGCCGAGCGGCACGGAGCGACACTTGAGTTAAGCTGTGCAAACGTTTGCATAATCACGTTCCAATTTAAATTGGTCTATTTGCCGGGGGGGACAGGGTAGCTGGTGGAGTAGGGAGAGGGCCCGGGGCCACTGCCACTCCCACTACTACGAATCGGAAAAACTGGGAAAAGTTTTATTAGCCGAGCTGAGCTGAGAGTTGTCTTGTTTGTGGAATGGAAAAAAAATTGTCCAATTCTGATTCATTTTTTGGTTCAGATTCTGCTTCAAATTTTACTTGCCACATTCATCCATCTATCCATTCATCCCTTCATCCACCCATGTGTCTACATTTCAAATCACTATTTATTTTTTTTTGCCCCAACGAGTGCGTAAACAAAAGTATCCACTATTTCTAGCTGAAAGAGCCCAGAAGAGATTATTATTTCTTTTAAAGTATGATGGCCATATAATTGAACAAATTCTGGCTTGGGGATCTATATTTTTCACTTAATAGTCTTTCGAATCCATTAGATCTTAAACATATAATAAGGAGAAAGTATATTCCCCTCTTCCCATTCCAATACCTCGACCAATTCCAGGAGCTTCAAGAGTATAACAATTATTTTCTAGATTTAAGAAGATATTTTGAAAATTTGTATTTGAATATTTATTCAGCTTAATAAAGCCACTTTTAAAGGTATCGTTTCAGCGGTAATTTTTTGCAATATTTTTTGAAAAGAGTATCGGGTATCATATAGTCGAGAAAATCGACTTAAGCCATCATAATTTGTTGAATATGAAATATTTTTCTAAGAATTTCCATTTTAAAACTACATATATAATTTTCGATGCTTAGCTTGATATACTCCTAAAAAAAGGTCCTATATCTATTTATTTTTTCACAGAGTATCACTAAGGATTTGTAGTCAAAAAATATTTAAAGCCTTTTTCCTAAAAATTACACTACTGATTTATCGAGTTTTCAATAGCTCCTTAATAGATGACTTGAACCGGGAAGGCCTTTTTGGGAATTTGAGGGAACCTACTTCTAATTTGAAGGACATAGTGCAGTCCAGATTAGGGCCAGCGATTGCACTTCTCGTCCTTGACAATCGGCTCTCCGCTCTTCCCGTCGTCTATGGCCTGGGCCGGAGGAAAGACCCGCTTTCCGACTCCCGGATTATCCTGGCTGTTGTGGAACTTCATTGTTAGCATGTCCCAGTCGTAGATGAGGCCCGGGCGAAGGTTGAGGCCCTGGCGGAGCATCCGGAACATGCGGCACATGGTGTCGTATTGGGGGCGTTCGTAGAAGCCGAGCCCGCGGCAGTAGTTCAGGTACATGGTGAACTCGCAAGGATAGCCCTCGCAGAGCGCCTCCACCGAGACGGAGATTTTCTTCTCGTAGATCCTCTCGTACTTCTGTTGCTTGTTGGAGGCCTTCAGGCCCTGCCAAGGCAGGCTGCCCCGGTTGAAGTACATCAGGACGTAGCCGACGGCCACCAGGTCGTCCCTCCGTGACGACTCGACGCCGGCATGGGCGCAGATGGAGGCGTACCGGGCCGTTCCCGTCAGACTGCGATTCTCCCGGTAGGGGATGTGAACGCCGCTGGTGATGTCCAGATACTTCTTCGCCAGCCCGAAGTCAACTAGGTAGACCTGCTTGCACATTTTGCCGATGCCCATTAGGAAGTTGTCCGGCTTAATGTCTCGGTGCAGGAATCCTCGCGAATGAACGTACTCCACCCGGCGCAGCATTTGCTCGGCCAGGAGCAGCACTGTCTTGATGGTGAAGGCCCTTTCGCAGAACTGGAACAGTTGCTCCAGCGAGGGTCCCAACAGATCCATTACCATGGCCTTCAAATAGGTTAGAAGATTTGAAGGATATAGCTGGATGATGCCTTGATGTATCTCACCTGATAGTGCTGCTCTTTGCAGAAGTATCGTATCCGCGGCAGGCCAGGAGCTGCGCGTAGAGCGCGGTAGAGGCGGCGCTCGTAGTTCAACTGCGGATGCTTCACCCTTGTGCTCTCCACCTTGATGGCCACCCGCTCGCCACTATGGATATAGATCGCCAGATATATATCACCGAAGGAGCCACTACCGATCTTGCGGAGCACTTTGTAGCTTCCAATTCGCACTTCGCGGCTGCGGGACAATCTAAGGCGTTCCATTCTGTGCTTTTTTGTTTCGGTTTCCGGTCCAAATCCTACTTCCTTTTAATGTTATTATTTTTTGTGGCTCTTGTAGTTTTTTTTAAGTTTTTCAGTTTTTTTTTTTAGATCCGAACGGGGCTCAATGATGAAATTGAATGATTTTGGGAGCGAGGAAATCCAAAAGGGCCCTGGTGTGTCAAAATTTTGTGTATTCCAAACCTACTTAGATTTAGCTTTTAAAGATTTTCTTACCAAGTCCTTACGATAACTTTTTCCTTTACTTTTATTATCCTTTTCTGATCTGAAATCCAAGTCGCTTTATAAAAAGCCCCAAGCCCTGTGTTGATCGCTGCCCTAAATTGCATTGAAATTCAATATTTAACCACGACTCAAGCGGTTCCTTTAAGAGTCCTTCGTGTGTCCTGCAAGTGCATTTGCATGTGTGTCTGTGTATGTGTGGGTATTTGTGCGTATCGATTATCCAGGCAGACGGCGACATCCGCAGACGGAGACAGAAACTGAAACAGAGACAGAGGCGGAGGCGCAAAAGGATACCCAAGGATGTGAAAGGGGACGACCGACTGCCAGGAGGACGATTAAAGTGGGAGTCAAGTGGTGGCGAGGACGGATCAACTAGCCAGTAATAATGTCTTTCGCTGACATTTGACATTTTGGCTATATATCACTCACATTGTGACAACTGGCAACTTGGCATTCAAATATAAGCACCAGGACTCTCGCTCTCTCTCGCTCTGGCTCACTCATTCACTGTCGTTAGTAGATGTTTAAGGACAATAAATTAGTGGGCCTGTGCGTGGTGGTGTCCTGCGTCCTGAAAATGTTTGGCAGTAGCCTTACTGGCTGCCTGACTGGCTGGCTGGCTGCCTGGCTGCCTAGTTGCCTGCAAATCCAATGACAAGACGGAAGCGACATATTTGAACGGGAATGAAGCGGGATTTTGAGGCTGCGTCAGGACATTATCCATTGTTGGGACAGAGAGAAGAATTATTTGAAATTTTGTGTCAAATTTTCAGATCTATAGCTTTAATAGTCTTTGAGTTATAGTATTTTATATAGATTGTCGGACACACGAACAACATTTTTCAAGCTATTTCTCTCAGTGCCATTGACAGAAACTGGAGTTCGAGGTGGAAATGTAGATGGAGCCTAGCGTTTACATCATAACATGGTCGCCTGATGGATAGACAGATAGCCGGGCATTAGCATTAGTGGCCAGGACAATGGGCCCACGACGATGATGATGATGATGATTCCAGGACTCTGGCGACAGCAGCTCCTGAAATGAGCCAACTCCTGATACTGATTCGGATGCGGATCCCGCTTTGGATTTGGATTCAGATTTGGATTCAGATTCGGATTCAGATCCAGAGCCAGTTTTTCGGGGGGCGTGGCCTTTGGTTGAGACTGAGGCGGAGGCTGAGGCTGAAACATGCGGGTAAATTATCTTTTCATTTCCATCAACGTCGCGTCGTCGTTCTCCTGGTTGTACCGTCTGTCCTTGTTGTCTGGATTGCTGTTGTCCTCTTGGCAATTGCCAGCAGCCCTTTCTACTCACACGCACTGCCACGTGAGAAATGAGGATGTTGTTGCTTTAATTAAGCCAGGAAATGAGGACTAAAGGGTTATTGAAGGTCTTAAATGTGTCGTAAGATTCAATGAAATCATTTAAATTGATTTAGTGAGATACAGTTTTTTAGAAAATAAAATTATGAGGGGCATAAATAATTTACTTGAGAATTAGTTTTTATTTTGGGACTTATAGGTAAATAGAATAAGAAGTTGGTATCATTCAGGGATTCGCATTATATACTACATATGTTCATATTATATTCCTATTATTTTGAAATAAAACCTGCTCTTAAGAACAACATATATTTATCGATATGTATCAAATCAATATCGTTCAAAACTGCATACCTTTAAAGTCGTTTTAAAGCTTAAATACATAGTTTTAAGGTTTTTATAGCTTTTCTGATAAATTTGCGTTTTAAGGTCTATATTATTTTGTAGTAAACCACAATGATATCACTAAAATAGGGATTCATATTAATTGATATCTATCGAAAACCTATCATAATTGATTACACATGTATGCCATTTAATAAACATTCTTTTTATAACTTTTTCCAAAGGCTCTTCGGATAGATGTTGTTTTTGTGGGTCTATATTATTTTCTGCAACTCCACATATATAATCCACAAGTTAACAATGCAATTACTTTAAAAATAGGGGTAGTAATTATTAGGAAAGGATTTATATTAATCGCTATCTATCAACAGTTCACTAAAACAGATCACCCATATAAGTCATTTTAAATGAAAGCTTTTTATGAAGTTCTTTTTAGATCTTTTTATAAACATATATCTGTGTTTTTAGGGTCTATATTATTTTTGAAATATTTCCCATATTTTATTATACCTAAAGAGTTACCTTAAGATACCTTTAAAGGGTATACTATAGACATTAACACCCCCACAAATTAGTCCCTCCAAGTGAAATGTAAGATGGTTTATTATCCATTTGAAAACTCATCGCATCACTTAGCAGCTCCCCACAAAGAACTTTGAAAGCATTGCTGGCCCCGTGAGTGTGTTATCCTTGTTATCCCTTCGGCCCGGGCCAGTGTACCAGGTACCAGGTACAGTTCAGGTGTGTCCACCCGCCCAGGTGTGTAAATGAGCATTAATGAATATGAAAGTTATACCATTCGCTGGGCAGAAGTTACCAACGTGACGAAAACAAACGTGACAGAAAAGTTCAAGAGGACACCGACAATTGCACAGAGCAACTCCCCTGTGAAAGAGACGGACTGCACACTTAGAGAGAGAGACGGGTATGTAATACAAAAGGATGAAAGGATGGTAAGAAGTCCGCTGAAGTTGGATGAACAACAAACAGCAAAATATAAATGACTTTAATAGCTCATCAATGATTCAGGCGGAAATCCGGTCTGTCCAAGTGCAGTCGGTTTATTGGATACCGGAAGGGCATTATGTTGCTTTACTCTTTTTATTGTTGCACCCTCTCTTTCTGTTTGGGTCAAGCCGTCTCTTTCTGGCCTTTGTGTATGGCTTGGTCTCTGTTTGTATTTGTTTGATTCTGCTGAGTGAAGTAGTCTGTCTGATGGGCTGACTTTGGTTTTCTGGGGGGTTTGGGGGCCTACTGTCTGCTTAGCTGCAATGATTTTCACGCTGCCTCCGAAAAGTATGCAGCAAAATTTGCATATTGTTTTGCTCCAGCAGCCTGCCATCCTACCTCAGGTTCCTTCACCACCGATCGACTGCAATTTGTTTCGCTTCCTTTTTGAAAAGGCACTTCAAAAAAAAATATTACTTAAAATTTAAAATAATATTGTATTGAAACCGAGGGGTTAATATTAGTTTTATCTATTAAATTTAATATTTTAATCTTAAATTAGTATAACCCCTTCTCTTTTTGAACAGTGCATAAATGGCATATGCACCCCGATTTGCATTTGTGCGAGTGTTCAAGTGAACTCTCACTTCAATTGCTTCCCCTTTTACACCTGTCCATGTCCACATCCACATCCACCATGTTCATGTCCTTGTCGATGTGGATGTCCTTTGGCATCATTATTATCATCATTATAGATGGCACATGGCCAGTTTCCCCCATTGGCCATGTGACAGTAGCCGCTTGGCTTTGTGTCTCATTTATTATGCAAATCCGAGCCAGGGGTCGTCCAAGGGTTAAATTCGGCCAAAGGACTCAGCAGTCCCTAGTCCTTACTCCTTACCTCTTATTTCTGATTTTATGTCAAGTTGCAGCTTGCGAGTACAATTTCCATAATCATCGGGTCTTTATATCTACCTTTTAACCGAAAACAATAATGCTTATCGCATATTAATGCCAGCGACATGAAGCAACAAAAATAAATATTACAAATCAACTCAATTGGAGACTTTATTGAAAATAAAGTAAAAATAATAAAAAGTAAATATAATTTCAATTTTTATTCCCATGCCGCGATGTTAATCAATTACGTGCTTTAATTGAAATCGCCAAAGTCAATAGTAAAAATCAAGTAAAACAGAAACCGAAACCGAAACTGAAATATATATAGTACTCGTATATATATAATTGTTTGGGATGGGGGGCTGTGTGTCGCGAATGCATCTGTTTATTTATCTATGAATTTTAAAGCGGCAAGACAAACGTCCATTTCGCATTTCTGTATTCACATTTCTGAATTCGGAATTCATTTTCATTTTTATTTTCAACATTCAGCCATTGGCTGTTTGCCGACGAATTGCTTTTCAATTAACTCTAAGCCGTAAAAACATAATTGAAATGCCCGCGAAATTCTCGTTCTCCAGCTTTAGTAGGAGGATTTCTTTGCTTCCCCAGGGAATCAAAATTAAGGTCTATCCCAGCCTGATATAATTGACAGAATAATATATATTTTTCAATTATAGAAGTAACCTTGGACACTTTCTATAAATCTCTATAGTTTTGTAGCATTTTACTAAATAAATATATTAAATAAATACTTATATTATTGATCTCTCCTTTTAGAAAATAGTTTTTAGATTTTGAAGCCTTGAGGTGCAGAGCCTCTAGCTTAGCCTGGAGGCTGGTGAGGTGCAGAGCCCTCAGGGTTGGGCAGGACCTCCCGTGACCTCCTCTCCTGCATCTGGCAGAGGCCACCCATCGGAATTATCTGAAACCGAACTGAACTCAACTCGGGCCGCCTGTCGTCTGCGGCTGTAAATGAAGTTGTGTTTTAATTAAAATTCCAGACTTTATTTCTGTAATTATATTAACTCGCTGTTCGAATTCGCAGGGCCTCCCACCCATCGACCCACCCATCCATCCCACCTACTCCCCCCTTTGTTTCTGCTCGATCGATCTACGGGAGGCTGGCGACAAAATGAGGGGGGGAGGGGCGTGGCAATAAGGAAAAGATAAAACCATTAACGGTAAAGTGGAGAAATGTGGAAAACGTGGCAAAGGCATGCGGGGTACGCTCGGCTCCCTGCTTGGTCCTTGGTGCTTGTCTTCCAGCTCCCAGCCAGGTCCTGTGAGTATCCTGAGAGTGTATCCT